CTTAGCTCTCTCTCCTCCTCCATCTGAAACATTTCTATATTTCTGCCCTCTAGACTGCTGATTCTCTCCTCCATAATATCAGCTCTGCTGCTTAAAGACTCCAGATTTTTCTTTATCTCGTTCATTGTGGTTTTCATCTCCCAAATTTCTGATTGTTTTTTCTTTATAGTTTCAATCTCTTTTGTGAAGAAGTTCCTGATTTCATTGAACTGTCTATCTGTATTTTCTTGGAACTCATTGAAGGTTTTTTTTATGAGAGCTATTTTGAATTCTCTGTCATTTAGATAATAAACTTCTGTGCCTTCACGATTGATTGCTGGGTGTTTGTCATTTTCCTACTCGTCTGGAGTATTAACATTTTTTCATACCCTTTATGGCATGGATTTGTGCCTCCACATAGTGATAATATTTGGTTGCAGCTTCCACCTGCCCACACTGGATGAGAGCAAGAGCTGTGTATTCTGAGCCCACCGTGGCCCCAGCTTGCTTGCTCATAGCTGATGCTTTTCTATCATATGCGTGGGTGCTCTGGCTGACCTGCTAAGCTGGAGGTCTAGGCAAGGGGAGGAGCACATTCTTTCACTTATGCAATCACAGGGGCATTCTTGTTCTTCCCTCACTTTCTGCTGTCCTGGGGTGCTGGCATGATGAAAACACCCCCACAATAGCTTAGCCACCTCTACATCAGGCTTTCCCATGGGCTGTAAGGGAACTTCAAGTGTGAAGGAGTTCCCGCAGAGGGCAGCCCCTCCTCTCTCTCCTCTCAGAGCCATGTTAGTCCCTTGCCCTAGGTTTTTGCCATTGGAGGAGGGAGAGGAGAACCCCTTATCTCCTTCCAATTCCTCCAGGGGGTCCAGCACCTCCACCTTCAGATGTATGGCTGCATGGATCTCTCAGATATCTTTTGTGTTTTGTGAATGTCCTCTGTTGGTATATGAATGCCCTTTTCACTGTATCTTAGAGGGGAGAGTCTAAGGGAAGAGCTCACTTTACCATGATGCTGAGGTCACTCTCCAATCCTCATTTATTTTTAAATTTTAATAAATCTAGTTAATGCATTCTTTACTGTTATAACATTCCTTTCCCATCCCAAACCATTGTATGTTTTTCTTCCAGGAAAGTACATATTCTAAAACAAATAAACAAACCAACAAGCCTGGTAAACAGAAATGTATAGGGGAGAAATGTATAAAATAAGCATCTTGTATACATATTTTATACAAGATTTTATAAAATATGTAACATAGATACTTACTACCTATATCTGTCTAGGGCACTTTTGATGTGTGGCTATATGTTCTCTATTTCCTCAATTCTCAGTTTCCATCAACTTAATAACACATTTTAGGGAAAAAATACTAGATAGTAAACCCTTAATTCTCCAGGATGAAAATCAATTTGAGTATAAGTGCTCTTCCAATTCAAAAGTCTAAAAATTCTTCAGAATCATTTTTGGCATCAATAGTTTTCATAGCATCATGATAACATACCATTCAGAAGCCATATTTTCAAATCTTTTCTTACTTAGCAATTTTAGGATTGATGGTATGGTGTTCGACCTGCACTTCCCACAATTTGGAAGATCACAGGGTTAAATTTGTTGGAACTCCATAGAAGACTGACCAGGGCAACATTTTAAGAGGCCATCTTAGAAATTCTGTCTACCACACTTCCCAAAAAGGAAAACTTTGCCAGATAGAGGCTGCTCAGTCTTCTATGGAGGATATCTATAGCTAACAGTCCATTAACGAAACACTGTCACTTTGCATATAGCATATATGCATATAGCATATAGCCCCAATGAGTTCCCCTTAGGTCTATTTTAAAGTATAGTTTCTGAAATAGAGATATTCTATTTGACTAATAGCCAAAGAAAGCAGGTAGCCAACAATAAGAGGACCAAAACTTAGGGCATGTTTCATATGCATGCAGGAACTTGCTCATGCACAAAAGGTATCAGTTCATCTGAGGGTCACTCAGCTATGTTACTGGTATTGGTAGCACCATGTGTCACATATGATATCTTATATTTACAGTTTCTGGGGACTGTTTTGTTACGTGATAAAAGGGACTTTGCAGATGTAATTAAGGTTACTAGCCTGTTGACTTTAACATGGAGAGATTATCCTTGACTATCTGGGTAGCCCAATGTAATCACATGAGACCTTAAAAACAGATAACATTTTCTGGCTGGTGGCGGAAGAAGAAGGCAAAGGTGAAGTGCAAGAGATTTGAAGCAGGAGAAGAATTCAATGGAGGGGCCACATGAAAAAGAATCCATGCAGGAGGCCCTTGGAGCAATGAGTGGCTGCAGACTTATAGCCTGTAGGGAGATGAAGATCTCAGTCCTACAACTGCAAATAACTGATTCTGCCGACAATCAGAATGAGATTGGAAATGGCTTCTTCCACAGAGCCTCCAGAAAACAGCCCACCCTGGCCAACACCTTGATCTTGGCCTTGTTAGACCCTGAGCAGAGAACCCAGTTGAACCCACAAAGACTTTGATCTACAGAACTGTGGGAGTTATTTTAAGCCAGTAAATTTGTTGTAAGTTGTTACAGAAGCAGTAGGAAACTCGTACAGCAGATTGAATAAGGAGCAGTAGGAAAGGCTGGAGAGTCTTGTCCAGTCAGGTTGAAGAGGTAGAGCAGCCCAGGTGATCAAGGGCACGACTGGTGCCCTGGCTGGTTCAACCCCACCTACTATACATAGATAACAATATAACAATGTGAGGTATGCATGGGGGCCATCAAGGAATAGCTATCTGTACCTATGATTAAGATTTTGTAGGGTTTCTCTTTTTAAAAAAGAAGTACTTAAGGACTTGTTCTTCTAAACCTGAATTTTTAAGTGGATATTGGTTTTTAAAAAGAATTGTTCCTGATTCAGTGCTTAAGAAGTCAAAAATCCTTAAGATTGATGCCAAAATGGCAATAACGTATAAGGTAATGTTTTTGGCAAACTCAACATATGCAATATTCAACATATCATATGTCATGCCAGGCATTTTCCCACTTTCTCAAAGATTTATATCAGTTTATTTTACTTATATCCCCTTTCATCCAATCTCATCCCCCAAACAATTATTCCCTTTCCCAGAAAGACAGACATTTGTCTTTATTCATCCAGCATAGATTAAATGAACTCTAATAGGTGCCAAGACATTTTATTAGGAACTGAAGGTGATCAAAGATGAACAAGATATAATCGTTTCTTATAAGAAGATTCAAGAAGTGCAGTATGGAAGATCCAAAACAAGAAAATATTCGCTTACTCAGCTGTCACAAATCTTGAGAAGAAATCTAGAAACTGGAAACGAGAAGATAAACAGCTTGCTAAGGTTCAAAGTGTCACAGCACACAGAGAGAATGGAAAAACTGCCACGGCTCTCATGAGAGATACTGTGAATTTGTTTAATTTTTTAGTTCACCTTTAAAGCAGACCTTTAGATACAGAAATGGTAGAGATGTGATGAATAAGTTTCATAAGTAAAAAACATAGGTGAGAAAAATACCAAGTGTTACAATTTCATCTGCACACATTTTAGTCTAATCAAGAGGAAAAAATCAATCAGAAGGCATGTGATCTGTGTTTTCTTGATACCGTTAGTTCTATAGCTAATCCAGCATCCCAGGAGCCGGGGTTTGTTTTTCTTACTTGTGTTATTAATTTATTAGTGTAAATTTACACCTGTCAACACAGATTTACAGCAGGGGAATTACCTACCACAAATATTATAGCCTTCAAGGACACACAGTTAAGAACTCAAAACACTTAAATTGCTTTAACACTTGCTAATATATTTCAGTTTCACTTATATGAAAAGATAAATAGTCAGAGTCCTCCTTAAAAAATTATTTTGGGAATAATTCTGATTTTTCCTCCTGGCTTTTCCTAAAAATTCTAAAGTTATTTTCATCTGTGGATCACTGCTTCCAGTACCAACTAATGATGATGGTAATTCTGCCCACATGGGGACACTGCAGAAAAGAGGGCTTAATTTCACCTCCCATCTTGGAGCAGTTCAAATGCTAAAGGGCTCGCATGCTTTGCAGTCATCTCCACTGGGATTCTTTTCATTGGTTTTATAGCAAATGCAGCTTTTAGCATTGTGGGCATAAGAAATAGGGGATTCATGTGCTGAGGATTGTACTGTAAGGCCAACAGAGTATGAGATGACTACTGCCCACAAGAAGCACTCAAGGTAATCCACAAGAGAAAACTAAACGAGGTATGACTCCACGGACTACCTTCCATTCCCACCAACCACTCCTCATCTAATCCAGATCCTCATCATCTTTGCCTGGACAATTGCAACCACCTCCTAACTGTTCTCCCTTCTACTATTCAAATACCTTCCAAATAATTCCCCTACCACATACAGCCTTAAAATGCTCTGTTTTTGATTACATTTCACCCCTGCTCAAAATCTTTCAATGCCATAAGAAACAATAAAATTCATACTCAGTAAGTGTTCAAGGAACCCCCACATCCTGGCCTCTGCCCACCTCTCCTTCTAGCCTCTTCTCTGGGTATCCACCTTGCTCTGACCTTTTAATGCATGATCCAACCATACTGAGCTATTTACTCTTAAGCAGCACACCTGGCTGTGCTTCCTACCCCAGTGCCTTCTTGTTGCCTGGAATGTGTTCCCTTTTGAGTCTCTCCAGTGCCCCTTCTCTAATCCAAGTCTTCCTGATTCCTGACAAATACCTGCTCATCTTTCAGAACTAAAGTATCATCTCTCTGCAAATCTTTTCTGCTCCTGCCCACCCTTACCCCAACCTCCACAGATAGAAGAGACCATCCCCTCCTTTGTGTCTCCTCAGTATCCTCTGTAGACTTCCATCAGACTTCCTGTAAAGGGCAAGGAAACACCTTTCTTTTCGTGTCTGTAACTCAGTGCCAAGCCACATCCTTACTCTTCTGCCTCCTAGCTGTGTGACCATGGATATGTCAGTTTATTTCCGTGTCCTAAAGCAGGATAACAGGACTCACCTCACAGAGTACTTGTGTTAAGATCAGATGAGATATGTGATGATCCAGCACTGTAGTTGCTAAGAAAACATCCATTCTTGTCCTTTTCTCTGAAAAGGGAGAGTAATTATATATGCTACATTATTCAAGCACAGCATCTTAAAGGAGGATTTAGGGTTGACTTTTAAGCAAGGATTTGGACAGTAGATTTTGATAGAAAGTGCCATCCATATGGGGAAATAGCTTGAGCAACGGCAGTTGACCTGCTTAAAACTCTTCCCAGATGTACCTAAGACCCAACCTTCAGATGCTATATCATTCCCACAATTCGGCCCAGTGTAGCAATGTGAGGGTAATTATACATGAACATAAACCAGCTTCAAAGCTCAAGAATATTGTAAATTAGAAGACATAAAATAGTAGTAATGTATTTAGGAAAGACATTCTTAGTGCAGGAATGTTCCCAAAAATGATGCTGAAGAGTACTGGGGCTGTTCACTCATTTGCACAAAAGTAAGCATTAGTCTAACAGACAGCAGAGTGGGCACGACAACATCTACTAACATTTAAACAAACACAGGGTAGGTAATAATTTCCATGTGTGGATGGTTCGAGTGCTAACAGAGCAGTCTAATGCAATCTCATTTACTTTTATGGTTAAGTGTTCAAGACGCATCTTTTTTTTTTTTTTTACATCTGAATGTTTTCATGGCTGAAGGGAGGCCAGTATAGCCTGAAAAACAATTTACAATGATGTGTAAAGTAGTTACATTTTCCAACAAGTCTGGTTGCTCAATTATTCCACCTATATTAATAGCTCTTAGTGGCATTTGATGTATAATAGTCTCAATCCAATCACTTACTTCAGCTGGAGGAGAACAAGTGCTATCCGAAGGGAAGAGTCCACGTTTGCAGTTGATTACGAACTTAGACCTTTGTCCTGACCATTTCCAGCATTAGCTTGCTGTCATGAGAAAGGGTGCTGTTGGCAGGCTGGCCTGCTATCACTCTAATGCCAGTTCATTCTGTTTCAGATCTGCAGCCAGGTTTGTGCTATCGGAAAACCAAAGCAATCGATTTCTTTCTACCTCTGTTAAGATAAGTGGAACAATGTGTAATTTGGTTTAGGTAAAAAAAATCTAGATTGTAAGAAAAGTTTCAAAGAAAGGGATAAAGACACAAATGGCAATTTTCACAGTATCTTGAACATAGTAGAAATTTAATAAATTTAAAGAGAATTACAAAGAACTGAAATAAAAAATCCAAAGATAAAAGAAAGTGAAAGAATGAAGTGTTGAAATATTTGTTTTTGATACCATTCACCTTGGGTTTTCTCATACATGGTTGCCTGCAATAGACTCTAAACCGGGCTCCTTGCCCCCTAAAATCTAAACTACACACAATAGCCATAGTGATTATTTTTAAATGTTAAGTCAGAACCTATCACTTCTCTGCTCAAAATTCTTGAATGGCTTCCAACCTCACTCAGAACAAAATCCAACATCTTCACCAAGGCCCACAGGCCTCTCCTGAACTTGCCAGTTTTACCCGCACCACCCTCCTGGGCTTACACCAACCCAGGTACACTCTGACCTTCTTACAAAACACTTAGCTGGTTTCAGTCAGTCTTCGCATGTGTTGTTCCCCTTCCCACCCCACTCCCTTGCAGGCTTTCTCTTCATTCAAGTCTCTGCTCAAATGTCACCTACTCAGGTGTCACCTACTCAAATGTCGCCTTCCTAAGCACCACACCTAACACAGAAGCTCCGTCACTGTTACTCCCTTGCCCTGCTTTATTGTTCTTGGCAGTTATCATTGCCACACATTAGCTTATTTGCCTGGCTGTTTATCAATTTATCTGTCTTGTCCATTAGACAGGTGGCTGCAGGATGGGGGAAGTCTGTACCCCAGAGCCTGGAATACTGGGTGCCACCTTATAGATAATAAATGTTGCAAGAAGAAGGGAGAGAAGATGAGAGGAGGGCTCCCTTGTCTTACTACTCAAATGTTTGTCTTTGCTCCCCAAATAACCGGACATGGAACTATTTAAGCAGCAGCTACTTGTCTCCCTTGAGCCACCTGCTAGAGACAGTAACACCAGGCAAGAGCATGGGCTTTGGAGTCAGAGACCAGAATTTAAATCCCATCTCCAGCACCAAGTGGCTTTTTGACTTTGGACAAGCGTTTAACCTCTCTACAGAATTTTACAGTAGGTCACCCGTAAGTATTGGGCGAGGCGCTGGAGACACTTCAGAAAAATTATTGAGAGAATTAAATTAGCTAACTCTCATTGAAACTAACTTGACAAAAAAATACATAATGGATAAATATTAGTACTCTGTCCCCTACACCCTACTATACCCCATCCTCCCAGCAGCCTGCCATGGTATGACGCCCAATAAATGCACCTAAGACAAGCAAAGGAAAGAATGGCTTCTGTGAGTCCATGAAAACCAATAGTGAACAAACAAAATTACTCAGGTGAAAGTAGTTTGAAAATGGTAGCACAGTATAGAAATAAACTGCAGGAATTATCATTACCATTGTAAAAACTTATTTTAGAATCACATTTCTGTGTCTTGAACTTCTAGTCAAGTGAATTAGATTGAGGATAGTCCAAGTTAAGAAGATTCCACGGTAAAGAATAAGCCAAGTGAAGACGGAACAGGGAAAAGACGAGTTTCAAGGGGAAGAGCTGCAGGTGAGAAAGCATTCAGGAACACGAGGTCTGAATTTCAGGGCTCTGGCTGGCCAGAGACTTCAGAAGGTACCCCATCAGACTCACCATGACTAGAGTTCCCAACTTTTTGGGAGAAGAAATGGAAGCAGGCAACACTACAAACAGGCCCACGGCTCCTCTGTGGCCACGTTTCCTGCTGCCATGGGGCCACCATCAAGTTCAGGGGAGAATGGGACATATGATACAGAGAAAGTGATCTCTCCAGTCTACAGAGGTAAGTAAAACATAAGCAAAAGGAGAACTCGGTTCGTATTTATCATCAGTCTACATGGACTCTCCCTGAATCACCTCCCCCAAGCACACAGTGCTGCAGGGAAAGGGGCTAACATTTTTCCGAGTTCCTGTAATATGTTGGGTGTCGTGCTAGACACCATCAAGTACAGTATCTCATTTTATCCTCACAATAACCCAAGTAGGCTTTATTATCCCTATTTTCTAAAGGACAAAGCTGAAACTCGGGAAGCTATTGAAAATACTGAAGCCAGAAAATAGTATTTAATTCTAGCTCTGTAAAAAAAAGAACCAAGTCATCCCTCTCATTTGTATAATGCACTTCATAATTTACAAAGTGTTTTCAAGAGTGAATGCATGACCTTCACACACACCTTGAGAGGCAAATAATACAGTATTATTATTCTCTCTAAATAATGGAAGAAGCTGAGGCGCAGAATAATTGAGTGATTTGTCTAAAACTACACAGCCAGTAAGTGGCAGAACTTGGACTTGGACCCACTTTCCTAATTCTAAGACTGGTGCTCTTTCCCCAAAGAGATGATTCCCTACTTTTCAGCAGAGGACTATGTTGTTTGAACAAACCGTATGTATTTGAAATCTGAGCTGGGAAAGAACATAGTTCTCATCTAGAACTACCTAAATAATAGGCCAAACTCCACGAATTACCTGGAGTAACAAAAGCTGTTAACATCTCAAAATCTCAGGGGCTCAACACTCTGAAAGCTTACTTCTCACTCAGGTAAAAGTCTAGAGCAGGTACTCATGGCACATGGTGATTCAGCAACCCAATTATCCCCTATTTGGGCCTCAGAATACTCTTCACTCAGGCAGAAGGGGAAGAAATGGCCACATGATTTCAGCTCCATTCCGTTGGGAGTACTAGTCACTAGGCCATTCCTAGATTCAAGTTAGCCACATAGTCCATGACTGGGCAGCCACTTCCCAGCAACACCTGTGTGTTACATGCAAGGGAGAGAATGAATTGTGGGTGAATAACTAGTCATCTCCACCACACTCTGCTAAAACAACCAAAGATGAAATGAAAAATGACTGTGAGATAATGCCTTCAAGTCTGAAGTCAGCTTAGACTGTTTTACAGAGCCACGAGCAAGGATCACATTTTTAATCATTTGCTGCTGCTATCTGTTCTTTTGAAGCATATAATTAATAACAAATAAATGTACACTTGCCCCTTAGGATAGCGAATTCTTATCCATCAAGGAGTATGAGATTACCTGGAATGCATGCCAAAAAAAAAAGGTAGATTCCCAAGACCCAGACCCAGAGATTTTTATACAAGTGATTCTGATGCCTCAGGCCCACAGACCATACTTTGTGAACTATTCGCATAGAACCAGTTATTTCATGATTGGTGATTACACAATGGCTGGTTAATGTTAGACTGAAGAGAAGAGAAATGCATCAGTCTTCCAGTAGCAAACCCCAGCAGAAGTCAGCTCCGGGAAGGAGCAGGAAATCTACGTGTTTTCAGATTTTCCACATTCAAGCAACACCCACTCCCACAAAAGCTTTGTTTTGCTACCCAGGTTCTATTTTCTGGTCTCCTTGACAATGTGGAAACAAGTTGGCCCTTTACAGAGACTCAGTTTACTTCAAATGGCAGGAGGTGCCTCACAAGGACAAAGGAGACAAAGATGGATTGGGCGGACCTAAGACATACAAAAAATAATGTCTGTATTTAGTAACTTCTATTTTACCTACAAGACTGCAGCTCTCTCCGGAGCAGGGAGAAACGAGGTTCTGCAGTATGGGCCGTGCTCAAGCTATGAAACAGTTGTTGCTCATTAACCTTGTATAACATGACATCTGATTCTTCCTTAACAGGGGTAACAAATCACTTCTCATATCAGGTGGTTGCCGCAGAAGCTTTCAAACTATTTTAAGCCTAGTGCTGTGTCCCAGAAATCATTCTGAATGTTATCAACAGTGATCCTGAGGAATTCAAGACAGTCAGTCAAAGAAAGTAATTCAAAATACTTTCCACTTTGGGTGTCTTGAGACGACCTTTTTATTGGAAAAACAGAAAAATAAATTAAGATTTAGAATGCTTGGCTTCATCCTGATTGCCAGATTTTACAATTGTTTATTGAACTAGATAGGATAAAAAGAAAGAGAGACACTCAGAGAGCACCTGAATGTGAGCTGGGAAAGGCGGCAGTGGCACTGACATAATTGATTAGACTTGCAGCAGGGCCTGGAAACCGTAGGGAAACAAAGTGTCATGGTCTGGGCACATCATAATGCCTCCACCTATGCAGGGGTCTCCTCGAGCATGATGCTTAGATAAGGCTCCAGCCTTAAGGGCACTGGAGGGAAACTGAGGAAGACATACAAACTCTCCTCAGAGTCCTGGAAAACTCTCAATTCTCCAACATGGTGAATCCAAATTATGGTCCATGAGCTTCAAGCTCCTGGCCTTACCACACCTCCAGCACTCACAGTCATTATCCTCCCACCTGCCTTACAGCTGTCATCAGACAACCCTCCCATCACATTGCTTTCCTGCTGCTCTGTCTCCCACATACCTGACCTACTCATGTCACCAAGCTTCTCTCTTCTTTCACAAGTTATCTTCAGGCCTTCGCCTACTTCTCATGAGAGGGTTACCTGCCTGTTGGGTTATTATCACCCTCCAGATCACTGACTTCTGAGTCAACTTGCCTCCTCCATCTCCTTTGCACTGCCCCTGCCCTTCTCCATTCATCGCATAACCAAGTTAGGCAATATCTTCCACCGCTCCACTCCCATTTTCCCAGTCACCCTAGATTCTGGCATTGCTATTGTTCTCCCAGAAAAGTTCCTGTCCATGCTCCCTGCCTCTAGTTTCTCCCTACTCCAATCTACCCTTCAAACTATGCCCAGACTGTTTGGTAGATAATTAACCCTTAACATTCCAACCCTGTATAACCCATGGTGTTACTCATTGTATTAATAGCCTCAATTCAGTCTTCGCCTCTCCTTGAATCCATGTTCTTTGTAAAGTAAATCTGCAGTTCTCTTCCATGCTGACTCTGGGCTTAGTCATGAGACCTGATTGGCCAATAAGATGGCTGCACAGTTGACCTTGATTGCTCTTGGTCTTCTACAACTGCCATGAGAACATGCATGGCTGGCCTACTAAATGAGAGACATGTGAAGAGCTGAGTGGGCCCAGTCATCCCAGCAGGAACAATCTTAGATGACCCAAAAGCCCAATGCCAGACATAGGAATGAGCCTAGCTGAGACCAGAGCAACTCAGCCAAGTCCAGCCTATGTCACCAACCCACAGACTAAATAAATGCTTATTGTGTTAAGCCACTGATATGTGAGGTGGTTTGTTATGAGGCATTATTGTTGCAATAGGTAACCAATATGACAATAAACAATACAACTAGTGATTTCTGAGGATATCTAGCCTTATCTTGTTCAGAACTGAAGCTTCCCCTTCATGTACCATCATCTCTCAAGGTCCTGAGTCTTCCCTTCCCTTCCTTGTCAGCAGAGTTTGCATCCTCCTGGGCTAGCAGACAGAATAGGTCAGATCCAGACAAATCGTCTCATATAGACAAGCATGACTGCCCACCGGACAAGAAAAGACTCCTTGGGATTAGTGATATTCAACATCCAGCAACGAAAGCAATAAGTCAGTGGTGACTCAGTTTCCTCACAGCTGGCTGAAACTGATGACACACGGTGTTTGCTTCAGTAACAGTTGAGGTTTGACAGTATAGACTCTCAGATGGGGGAAAATGAGCACTAAAAGTGAGCATCTGATGAATCTTTCCCTTACACTGACCAGCCACTTCCCAAAGAGTGGTTGAGCTTTGCAGGGTTTGTTTCTGATTTGTCTCATGTCCATGTGTGGGGGCTCTGGGGGACCGAGTGAGGCCAAGGAAGAAGTCCTTGGGATACAAGTAAAGGGATTTTGTGAGTATTGTGGAGAAAAAGAAGAAACCAACTTGTACTTTGAGATACTATCCCATAAAATACTTTGTGTTTTCTCTGTCCAACTTGAATACGAATTCTTTGAGAACAGTCTCCCAATCCAATTCCCTTTTGAGGTGGCAGCTGACGCAATGGAAAGAAAACTGGATTTACAATCATGAACTCTGTGACCAGAGAAAGAGATTTAATCTCTGTTTTCTGAGAATAAATAGGAGTCATCATGTTGTCTTATGTAATCAAAGAAGATAGATAGGGTAGATAGATAGACAATAGATGAATAGAATAAATAGATCAGCTAAAAGTTACCTCCTCATCCTGAGAAATTATACCCTATATTACTCCAGAGCCTATTATTCTCTATGATGTCACCACTTTTTATTTTCTTCATAGCACTTTATCATTGTCCAAAACTATCTCATAAATTTTTTTACATGTTGACTTTCCGTTCTTCCCAACTTAAATGTAAGCACCACAAAGGCAGTCTCCATTAGAGGAAGACCACATGAAGGCATATGATTCTATTGTATCTCCAGGTTTTAGAAATTGTTAGATATATGGTAAGTACTCAATAAATAATTGAAAAGAAGGAAGGAAAAGAAGGGAAGAAGAGAGGATGGGAGGGAGAGGGGGAGGGAGATGAATGAATGCATGGATACTTACCTTTATGGTTCTTTGACCTCTTGTTAATAACATCCAGTCCATCAAAGAAATTGTATTTCTTTGGGCATACTCGGGTTTATAGAAATAATTCCAATTCATAAAAAGAAAGGTAATATCTTCTATGCATTATAAAAATCAGTTAGTATTCATAGAAATATTTTAGTCCAAAAACTTCTGTGTTCTCTGATACTTAATTCATTCTCTAAATAATCATGAATTTGGTAATTCTGCATATAGATATACATAAGACCCAATCAAGACCAAAAGTAAGCCATTTAACCCTTCTGAGCATATTTCCTTGTCGGTATAACTAAAGAGTTGAATAACATGATTTTTACAGTTGCTTTTTAAATTCTATGAGTTGATAATTAGGAAATCATCATTTCTGACTGCAAGTTCTCCTCCAAGAAACCATAATCTCTACCAGGCATATTCTTAAAATTAAATAACTACAGAAAAACACTAAGGTGGGGTCTTTAAAGTGCCATGTTTGCATGATGAAGCTTGCTGCAGCAAGGTCAGCTGAAATTTTAAAATCCTGATTTAAAAATACCCCTCGGCCAACATTAATTTTGAATGTGAGAATCAGATGCCTTTGGCCAGAGCCTATAGAAGCAGTCTGTAGCCATGAGCCTCAACCCCCATAAGGTGGGCCCTGCCACGAGCTCCAGCTATAGCTGTAGAAGCACAAAATGCTCCCTGGCTGACAGAATAATCATGTTGCTCTGAATCTTTCTATAAACTTCCTTGGAATAAAGCATGAATGAGGACTCAAAATGACATTAATGGAATCTCCTTCCCATCTTCTTGATTCATCTCCCTCACAGTGGGTGTTTTAGTGAAGCCCCTTCTGTTTGCAAGCAACAGAAAACCTCTTAGCAAGGTTAAGGAAAAAAAGGACATTTTTTATAATGGTACAATGTTATCTTGTGGATCCAGAGCAGGACATGCCTGGGCCCCAGCAGAGGTACAAATGTTGACTGAGAGCCAGCAGGAACAAGGCTACCACCTTCTTGGTCTTTCTCTCAGACCCTCATCTCTGCTCTGCTATGTCCATGAGCCTCAGGCTCCTCTCCCTACAGACCCAATTTTTACCTTCTCCATATCCATGGCCACCCCACAAGTTTACACCACCTCAGTTCAAGCCACATGCAGAGGCTGAGACTAACACCTCCCTCAACCCAACCCAAACTCCTGGGAAAGACATTCAGATTGGTCCAGATTGAGCCAAGTAATGTCTTCTGTTCAAATCAACTGTTACCAAGTGGACAATCCTGTAGTGCAAACATGACTGTGGTGGTTTATCTGCGAGTCAAAAGGGGGCAGGCTACAGAAAAATAAAAGACACTCCAAAGGGGGCTTGCCATAGCATATCTACAAAAGGACTCTATTAGGAGGGAGGCACAAGGGCTAAGAAATTTCCAAAGTTAAGACTATTCCCAACAGGCATCTTGACAACAAAGACAGCTGTAGCACTAATATATACACAAATTTATTACCTTACAATTCTGAAGATCAGAAGTCCAACATGGCTCTCACTGGACTAAAATCCAGGTGTCGGAAGGGTTGTGTTCCTTTCTTGAGATTCTAGGGAAGAATAACTTTCCTTGCCTTTTCTGCCTTCTAGAGGCTGCCCTCATTCCTTGGCTCATTGCTTCCTCCTCCATCTTCAAAGCCAGTAATGTTCCATTTCTCTGACCATCCTCCACCTCCATGTGGTCTCTTTCTCTGACCACAGTCTGAAAGATTCTCTGATTTTTAAGGACCCATGTGATTAGACTGGGCCCACTCAGATAATCTAGGGTAATCAATCTCCCCATCTCAACGACTTTAACCTAATCCCATCTGCAGAGTTCCTTTTGCCACATAAGATAACATATCCACAGATATTTGGGATTATGATGTAAACACATTTTGGGAGTCAATATTATGTCTACCACAGAAGGGTTTTGAAATTAAAAGTTTTCTCTTGAAATTTATAGCTTTCTCTTTTAGGGTTTTTTTTTTTATCATTCCCTAAATCTCATAATTATTTTCTACCTTTTCATCCAGTGATGATTTCATAATGAAGACATATAATCCGAGCGCTTATGAAAATATGAAGTTTTCAGCCTCACCTACACAGGCTTTATCAGCATTTGATTTAATTAATATCAAATATCTGCAATCACCAATTATCAGGTCTATAAAAAACCAGAAGTAACACATTTTGAACCTCTACTAATTCTCAAGCACTTTCCCAGGCACTGAACAGCTCTCATTTCATTTAATCTTCACAATGACCCTGCAAAGTGGATGGTATTATCCCGATTTTACAAGTGAATAAAACAATGATAAATAAATTATCCAAAATCAAACGAATGATAAGAAGTAGAGCCAAGATACAAAGTCAGAGGCCTGTCTAACTCCAGAGTTCCTATTCTTTCCTTTATATCAGACAGCCACTAAGAATAAAACCCCATCCTTAGGTGGCCTTATAACATTCTGCTCTCCCACAAGCAGAGATAAAAAACATTCCATTAATGATACCAATCATTCCTTTAATAAACAAATACATTAGGAGGGTGGGACATGAAGACATGCGATTTACTCCTGAGCAGAGCCTCAGTGAGTGGGGCTGACAAGGTTCCGAGGATGACCAGGACCTTACAGACAACTGCTTTTTACTACTTATCACACTTAATGTTTTCTTTCTAATCTTTCCCAATGACTTAGAAATAGAGGTGGCTATGAGGAAGAAAAAAAAAAGAGAACTGTGCCTCAGTATCTTTATCCACAAAAAGGACATAATCAAAGACATCTAACTAACCCCAAGTGATTGTTGAGGGGTTAAATTAGTCAATATGTGTAAAACGCTTAGGACAGTGCCTGGCACACAGGAAGCATCATCATCTTCTGCATTCATATTTCAGATTTAATACACTAACAAGTCAAAATATAAAGGCCAGATATGGGAAAGATCTTCCATATGAGCTAGATAAATTACCCCTTGTGTTTCTGGTGTTCTTTGGTCTCAAATACAGGCATTGGTTAGACAATGAGCACTCTCTTATTGAATTTTTGTTGCTCTATTACAATTATAGGCTTTTATTCTTTAATGCTATTTCTTTCCACTAGTAATCCAAGAAAATACAATTCCAAGCCGATCCATTTTTAAAATTTATATACGTGTAATTTCTCCTATAATAAAATGACATATTAAACTTCACTTTCAGGAATATTGTAGAAAAACACTATGGCCTTTGTAAGTGGGTCATTCAAAATATATCATGCCACTCAAACTCTCATCCAAACTATTTTCTTTTATCAAAAATTGAATCAACTCACTATTTTCACCCAAAATATGTTTTAATCCCCATTTTTTTCCATCTCTTCCAGATACTCTATACTGCTTTAACTTTCATCCCAAATGTTCTCTTTGAACTTTTTGTTTGTTCTTTTATTTTATTCTCCTCATCATCTCCCACTGTCTCCAATTTACCCTATTTTTTTTGGGCAGTTAGGGCCAAGTGCTCCCCTGCTTCTTTGCTGGGCTCCCCATCTCTCTGCTCAGTAGAGCTCACCCTGCTGCTTCCATAGACTTCCTGAGTTGCTCCCCTCCCTCTGCAGCTTTCTCCCTCCTCTCATGCTGACTCCCTGTGCGCCTTGCTCCATATGCAGCCACCCTCTCTCTTCCCCTTTAGCTGCAGACAGTAAGAGACTGGCTAAAGCCGCTCGTCAACCTTCTTCTTGTCAGCACACAGTTGTTTGCCTCAATAGAGCTGAAGCAATTTCCACCCTTCTTTTCCACCAGTGCCTCATCATTTTCTCCTGCTGTGCTGCTTCCACTTCCTCCTCTGCAAAGCTCCAACCTCAGCAGACGGTCTCACCTCCTCTCCATTTCCATTTCTTTGTCTCTGTCTCTTCTCTAAGAGCTCCCAATATCTCTCACTAGCTAAAGTCTGGAATAGACTCCTATCTGCTAGGCTTATAAGTAATTCATTTCCTCATGGCTTACTATATGAACAGAGTACTTCTTAGAATGTGTATGACTTGAGAACAGAGGCCTGAAGTCAAGTTTTAACTATACAAACATGTAGAGCTGACATCAAGAGATAAGAAGGTACATGATGTAATGAATAGTGCATGCAGCTTCAAGCCTGAAACCCAGTGCTTAAGAATGATTCTACCATTAAGTCCTTGTTTGAATAAAATGATTATCTAACCTCTTTAGGCCTAAATAATCTCCAAACTATGGTGGTCAAATTGTGATTCTTTGTTCCAATTATCTTTGCTGCATAACAAACTACTCTAAATTCAGTGGCATAAAATGACAACCATTTTATTATGCTCATGGCTTCTGTGGGTCAGGAATTTGGAAAGGACACAGTGGGGCAGCTCTTGTCTACTCCATGATGTCTGGGACTTCCATGAGGAGACCAAATGGCTGGGGCAAGAACAGTTGGCACCTCATTGCCTCTTAGATCTATAAGGAATGACCTAGCCCAGCTAAAGAGATCCCAGACTCAGCTCTGGTACTTACTCACTCAAGACCTAGCCCTGAGGCCTCAACAATGATAAAGACATGAACAATTAACTTTTAAGGAGCATACACTAAGTCCTAGTCACTCTGCTGAAAGTTTCAAATACTTATCTCACTGAATCCTCATAATAACCCTAACAAGTTCCCACTAATATCACTCCTACTTTACCAGTGAAGAAAAGTGAGGCCCTAAGAGGTGTAGAAAGTCACTAGTGAATGGCAGTAGCATTTCAAACGCAGGCATCTTAAAACCATACTCTTAATCCCATGCCAGTTGGTCTTGCAGACTGTGAGATTCTGTAACTCTCTGCTCAGTCAATGGCTGGCTGATCCAGAAAAAGCAGCACTGAGTGAGGTGCTGTAACAAACAAGAGTCAAAGTAATAATATATATTGTTCCTGTTCTCTAGGCCGAAGTACTGTCGAGATAAGATATCCATACAAACTGGAATATGTAAATAACAGTACAAGACACAATGTTACCCAACTGCCCATCAGACCTTCAACATCCCAGAGAGATACAAGATGTTTTCAAGAATCCCCAAATTCATAAATTCCCTTTTAGCATGCAATTTTCCTAACAAATTGTGACTATGTATGGCTTCATACATGGAACTGCTTCATACCTGATCAGAGTACAGACAGACTGAGCAGCAGATGTGGCTTGCTCAATCACTGAGTGACTCACGCTGCCCACAGCTTCATAAAGATTGCAATTCATCCCTCAGCACCATGGGACAATCTCAAATTTTAAATAGTTAGACCTACGAATGATAATCCAGGAATTCCCGAGATTTAGTAAGTATATTTAAGGCCAAAATGGGAGAGGCAAATAATCAATGACAGTATTATCAAGTCCCCTTTTGAATAACTTGCCCACTTTCTCACCTGCTTGCAAAACTCTGATATTCACGACTACATCCAAGGGTGAATTACATCCCTAAAGACTCTTTTTGCCTTCCTTTCAGCCTATCAAAGGGGCTTTGGGCTCCATCAAACCACACACAGAGCATTTTACACCTTTCACCAATGCTGGGCAGAGGGAGATCAGTTGCTGTTAATTACAGATGCTTTCTGTCATAATGGGCCAGATTTTCAAAAGACTCTCAACTGCAAAGCTCCCAAATGCCATGCACAAACCTGGTAATGGTCCATGCAAATTGAATACTTAGTGGGTCTGTGTGCATGCTGTTCCAGGAACTGCCTTTGAAAATTTAGCCCCATAACTCCAAAGCATTTGTAGCATCATAATCTGTCATCATTAGCAACAATGCTTGACTTGGTGCTCAACATTCTTATTAACCATGCAATTATGAATGCAGACAATGTTTAATCACTTTTACAAAAATACAGCTGTGTTGTTGGGGAGCTGTCATTTACTGCTCATTAATGATTGATTTTTTTAACCATCTAGATTGTTTTCCTGAGAACAGCAGATTAACTATAAAGAATTCATTATTGGTCATTAAGGGATATTAAAATGGAAAACCTTTACAAGATGTGTCCTATCCTGCTGCATTCAGATGCCTGAGACTCTCTTGCCAACGTGGGGGCGGAAACAAAAAATCATTCTTGCAGAGCTCTGGCAAGGAGATCCGGCTGAGGAGAGGTGGAGTGAAGAGAGAAATTAAGAAAAAACATCTCTTTTTGCTGTAATAAAACATTGATTACATTTTACAATGGCAATAATTCACCCCAGATAATTACTTCAGCTATTGTCCAGCTTGTTTAAGGGCTGACTGAGCTGTGGGTACCAATCGATTCAGTGCGGATTGCTAATAATGGGCTATTTTGAAAACTTATAGCTGTCTCTCTATACTGCCCATACACTGGAAGACACTAATTCCTTTCCCACACTGCACACTTAATTAAAGATGAGTCAGGGCATTATTTTATGGCCAAACTTTCCTTATACCTCAGATGCAGAGAGCTGGGTTCTGCTCCATCAAATGTCTCCTGGACACACTGTGATAAAATGCACTTTACCACTGCCTGCCTGCAAAGATAATAAGTTTCAAAACCTGTTAAGACATTAGAAAAATCAGATTTCTCAATGTCATGCCCTCCCTGGATTTCCAGTTCTGATGCTCACCCACCCACACGTGGAGCACTTTATTTCCTCACTTGCTCAGTGGCTGCCAGGATCCCAGAAGACCTAACCTGAGGGAGAAGGTTTCTAATAAATTACAACTCCTCTTTCTCCTGTTCTAGCTCACCCTTACTCCAGGTCTTCTCTGAAACTGCTGTCTTAGTTCTTTTCAATAATTTTTTGGTGGTGTTTGTTTTCTGATAACAAGCATAATACATATTTGTTTTAGAAAATACAGACAAGCACGTAGAAGAAAGTTGAAGCTATCTGTAGTCCCACACCCAGAAATAACCACTTTGACATTTTATATTTGCTCCAGTATTGCTCCTATGAGCATTCTTTATGGTGAAAGACTTTGACAAGTTACTTATCTTCTCTGTGTTCAGTTTCCTTCTCTATAAAATGGAGAAATAATAGCACCTATTTCACAAGGTGATTATGAGGATTAAATGAGTTAATATTTAGAAAGCACTTGGAAGAGTGTCCAACACAAAGTAAGAGCTACGTACATTTTAGCTATCATAGTTCTATAAATTGTAGAGTGAGAAATATCATTATAAAGGAAAGAAAGTCATCATAGTTAACTAGTAAAAATGTTTTGAAGTTTAAATTTCCAGGTGATGTTGATGCTACAGGCCCAAGAAAACACATTTTGAGAACCACTGCTGTATGTTACATAATTATATTGAGAAAAAACAAAAAGAAATGAGAAAAACACTCATAAGAAATGGAAGTATGTTTGGTCTGGTGAGCTTCCCTTGAGGGAAGGGTTTGGAGGGATTTGAGACAGGTGTTGTGCTACAAAGCATGATGCAGTGAGTGGAAATGATGACTTACATTAGGTAAAGGAGCTGTGAGGGACTGCTGACATATCACTTCTGCAGTTGACTTTGGGCCGAGTCGTTGCTAGGTAGTAAATCTTTTAGTTACATTCCCACATTGTCTTGTCCGGGATATTCCAGCATCGTGCTTGGAAAGAATTACCAGAAACTGGAAACCCAGGCCTGGGAAAGCACATCCTCAGACACCCTGTGCCTGAGTAAGTATCCAGGACAACTGAGGCAATCCGTTGCTCTCCCTGACTTAGCTACCACCCCAAAGTGTGCAGGGAATGGAGAAAATCGGAGTCAACGTGAGTATGTATGAATTTTAGAGAGCACCATACTATTGCTATTAATCTATAGAGCATTTTCTTTACCTAATATGAGCATTTCCCCATTTTCTCTTAAAAAAATTTAATCTGTATTATAACATTCCATCATATGGATATGCCAGACTTTTTAACTAACCCCTTTTGTTGGGTGTTTTTACTTAATTTTCTCTATTATAAATAACAGTGCTTATTTCTTTAGTCATTGTTTATCTTTTATTCCCTTTATGCTTACTACCAAAAATATTCTGATTTGGAAGTCTGTGTCTTAAGTAGAAAGATTTAAAACCACTGCACAGAATTTTACTAATTATTTTAGAAACTCTGAGTCATTATCGTAAGTTTTCTAATGGCTATTGTCTTACATAAGTAAAAACTGGTAGACTTCCTTTGCTGGAACAGCCATACAATTGCCTATCCCATGACACTTTAAAGCATTTGTCTCAAAGATGTTGCGGTACCAACAGTAACTCTACTAAATGATTTGTCTATTTCCACAGTAAATTTTGGTTATGAAGATACTGGTGTGTTGGTTTGTAAGACTGGTTGGTTCCTGATACATAAAGCGATAAATCATTCATTGAATCAATGAATGATTGAATGCTGAAACTTTGCTGATTAACATGAGCAGAAGTCACTCTTAACATTGGTCAAATCTCATAGTAATGGAAGAGAAATAACTAAAACTTCATCTCTTTTGGCAACATAAACGTTGCTAAAGTCTATCTGGTTTTCATATTTTTACTGTTGTCAGGTTAAACATAAACTAACAAGTTCTAGTTAGTCCCTTGAGGTGAAAACAGAACATCTGAGTGTTAACACATATAGCCATCATATTAAAGCCATCTGTAATAAAACTGTCAGCCACAACTCTTTTTTTCATGATGGCTTCTAAGTCTGCTAAAGCATGAGTACTTTCTGATAAAAGCATCTCCTCTCATTACACAATGCTGTGAAGGGGTTATCACTTTCCATCCATGCCTCTCAACCCTTGCTGCATTACCTGGGGAGCTTTTAAAAAGGAGAAGTTTGCTAAATTACCTGGGGAGCTTTCAAAAAACTACCAATGCCCGGGTCTCATGCTAGGATAGTTAGAGTCACCAGGGGTGAGACCCAGGCATTGGTACTTCATGCGAGGTTCTCTGTTGACTCTAAGGTACCAGCACAGTTGAGAAACACTACTTTAAAAGATGCAGATAACCAGTATACCACCTGATCACTTCAAAAGGATGGTGACCTCAAAAAAGTGATCCTCCAGGCATCACTTTGCTTATAAAGACAAATTCATTCAGGCATTGATTAGCTCTGTCAGTACTAGAAGTAATATACCTCTCCAGAGGCCATAAATAAAGCTCGACAAGTTGCAAATTTGTGGAATAGTATGGGAAAGAGTGTCAAAATGCCAAACTGGAATAATTGGTGGGCACTCTTGGCACCAACATACCATTGATATAAATTGGAAACATGGTACCAGTTATTTTGGATTTTCAACATCTTTTTATACTAACTACTAAAATGGACACAACTTGCACTCAAATTCAAAGCAGCCTTGAGTGGCAAGAAATTCTCTTTTCAGCTCATTGGGACCCATTATCTCTGAGCAATTCTGTCATATAAATTGCATCTTATCCTCAAAAAGCCACCATCTCTGAAGTCTGCCAGCTCATCCCACTGAGAGTCAAGTAAACTGGCAGTCACAGTCTGTTCAAATCGCATAAGTGAATAGTGAAAGTGTGGTGCTTTGATCTTAGAGTGAGCGACTTATTATCTAATTTACTTTATTACCTCCATGTTTATATAATAATAATATATTGTTACTCAATAACAATGCAAGGCATGCAGTTAGCAGAAAAAAATACTGCTAGGCCAGGCTAGATTCTCATACAGGGTCTTTTAACTAAACAGATACTTGATTCTAGACAAATACTCAATCTCCTTTTGTCTCATTTTTCTCAATTGTAAGCCATAAATAAGAGTAGGTAATTTCTATAGTCCCCTCAATTTCAAAACAAAACTTCTGTGAAAGTTTATCACTTCCCTAGAAATGAAGTCTGTGAAGTACCATACCTGGTAGATCTAAAAGTCCAAGGATCACACAACTGTGAATCTACTGGCCACAGTCCTTCAGCTGTACCTGGGAAATGATGTAATATACAAATACAGGGCAAAGGAAATGTGATTTAACCTACAGAACTGTGATTTTCTAACAGATTATTTCGATATATAGTCATTGTAATTGAGCTCTAACTCTTTGGAGAACATTTTTCTTTAAAAATGTTTCTATTTATACTTATTTAAGAATTGATCAATACAGAATTTTCACTCAAGACCCCTTCAGATCACAAATTACACACTCCTGGAAGCTTTACTAATGGTCCAAAGTATTTATATTAGAATAAGACTAATAGGGAATTAAAAAGCAGAAGGTACAGTACATCAAATCTACCCACGCAGACTTCCAGGGTGACCAAGACTCACTTCCAAACGTAAACAACCAATTGGTAAAGGAGAGACGTCACTTCCTCCTATAAAATTAGGCTTACAGCTTTTTTATGGGACTGGAGCTGGGCATTGTCATATGAATAAATATGATCAATAACAGTCAATCCATAAACAGTAACTCTTGGGGTTTTAAGGCCTTAGGAGATGTTTTAAAGAAAGATACACACAAAGCTTTGAAAGGAACATTTAAGCCGTGTCTGCAAAGCCTTCAGACAAGAGTTCATAAGGGAAACAGTGATCGACCTTGAATGATAGAAACATTAGAAGACTCCGTAACAATATTGTAAATCATTCATAAATAACACTGTTGATAAGATGAATCTTTCAAAATCTCTCAGGACATCTCTTTAACAGTTAATTAAAACTTGGGAGTGGAGGCAGCTCTTTTATCATTCACAATATTGTAGCTCTGATCATCCCACAGTGAACGATTTTACTTCAGTAATAACCCTGATCCGACATTCAGTTAGCAATTACCACATCAGACTTTATCTACTGGTAACAACTGGTTCGGAAGATATTGCTCCGCATGCATTAATTTCATCATGCTAATAAAGTTCCCTGTTATAAAATGCAAAAACATATTAACCTGTCTAACGCAATAGAAGAAACAAATATATCTTTCTTACAAAATGATGATACACCAGCATTTCATTTCTATTTCAAAACTTAAGTGGGTAAAGTACACTAGAGGAACAGAAAGTAACAAGCTATAATCTGTAGTGAACACAATAACATAACTAAGCACCAACAAATTTTCTAGTGAGTAATTGCACTTATTGTAATTTATACACATTCTATTACCTTGGCGTTTGCATAACAATGCAAGACTGCTCATTTCCAAACACTGAACACTGTAATAGAAGAAGCGTATGCAACTTGTCTTTTCCACAGAGTTCAGGGAGGCCACTGTTGACTCCAGTTAACTCCCTTGGAGCACCCAGCAAGCACGGACTGACGGAAACATTTAATAAAGATGTAGATGTGACTATGATGACAAGCTAGTATCCCCAGGGCACAATCCCTGGCACAGAGTAAGCAATCCGTAAAGATGTGCTGAATGAAGGAGGAGAGTAATAAAAGTTCTGTTTATGTTTCCAGCATCTGTCCTGGATACCCTTTTCCCTTCTACCTTCCTCTTCCCCGCCTGAGCTCGCCCAAGTACCATCTCCATTCCTAAGTGAAGAATCCAAAGCAGAAATGCCTCACTTTCCCCTTATTAGTACCCCTCACCCCATCTTCGCTAACTTCCAGTCCCAGTATTTACGATGTGACACATTACTGCTGCCTGACCTGTACTCAGCATTTGGCTTGGTCTGTTTCTTCCTCTCTGACCCCAGGTTCTTGTTCTTCTTTCAGAATTTTAAGTGGGAAGATGTTACAAATGTTAAAATCCCAATGGAAAAATGAATCATGTGATTAAAACTAATACATGTGACATTTTGTTCTCCTCTCCCCAAGGACTCATCCACAATTGTCAACTCTTTATTAAAGCCATACCTTGACTTTCCACAGGAGATAGTTGCTGCCAGCCTTGCTGGTGCTGCCACCCTTGGGAAGCCCAATCATCCTACTAGGATGAAAAAAAGTATCTGTGATCCAATTAAATCTGAAGCAAAATAAACACATTGCCACCTTCCACAGTTAAAGCAGAGTGGTCACACAGCCCACTGTCAGGGGCAGTTGAATGCATCTGTACACAAAGGGCCTGGGCCCTGCCCTAGGATGTTGGTCAAAGGAGACCATTGTATGAGCTAGAGCCCATTCCTGTCCAGCACGTGGAGGTTTATCCACACTCTCCAGCCAGGAGGGCTCAGCTGTCTCTCGGGAAACGTGGCATTCTCACATACAACATAGTACTGGCTGGAGGCCTAGCCAATAGGCACGGGAATGTTGAGGATTTATAGACTGAAAATGTGCACACAGACAGCAGCACTGAGTTTGGTCAGGAAACACATGTGCTGTGGCTGCACTGTGGGAGGCCTAGGTGGGATCCCCAGAGCTTGGCAGAAACTCTAGTGGGGACCGAGAGTGGATGTATACAGATCAGAGCTGTAAATCTGGTAACAAGCACTCCTCAGTGGTCTTACAAAGATTATGAAAACACAGGCACTTTTAAGACTGTGATGTCAGGAAGGAGGGAGGCCATTTGGAAGCTGACTCTCATATCAAATGGTTTCTAGGCTTCCACAGTGTACACACGATAAGCCAGAGCTGGACATCCCCTTTAGCCTCAAGAGGTAACTGTGTCCACAAGGCATAACCTTCTGGAGAAAGCTGTGCCTCTGAAGGGCAACACACTAATTTGATGACAGTTTCTTGTTTAGTCCAAAATGTTAGCCAAGACATCTCTTTAAAGTTTATAATGAAATATCTTTTAAAAAATTTATCCAGCAAAAGTTACCATTTAAGTTTTCTATTCTCCATTAATTGCATGGTCACACTCAGAAAGCAACAAGTGGGCTAAAACGAGGAGGAAGAAGTGGAAGTGGAGGAGCCCAGAAGACAACTCACCAATTGTACTTTGCAATCCAGGACAAAAAAACTTTATTTACTTGGCCCCACACATACTTAGGCTGTGCTCTGGGCTTTCATAGCACTTTCATTCTGGAATCTATTTCCAGAGTTTATGGCCACTAAGGTTTTATGGTCCTTCCCAAGAAAGCTTTCTTCACCTATTAATATGCATTACAGTTCCTCTTCTCAGAATGGTGGTCCTTGTGAAAGCCAAGCAATTTTTATGTAATACACATGTAGCTTGAATGGGAACTTTTCAGTGGATTTGGATAAGACTTTTGTTCTGTGTTTTTAGAGTGTTTGTGTGTATGTGTGATTAGTCATGAGCAGATTCTAACAGTTCTACCTGTCCATTCTACTTGGTCTGAAGAAAGGGGGGAAAGAAAGAGATAATTCAAACTGTAAATTTTCATTTCAAATAGAGTCCTCTAGTACTTGTCTTGTGATTTCAGAATAGACTATTGGTCTGAAACTGTAGTCCATTAACACTTAATTTGCCTTAACTTAATCCTACAGTTACACCAGAGAAAGCAGCAAAAATAACAAAAAACTCTCAGGTCAACTGTTCTGTAACTAAAACGGCCAGTCATTTTTATTTCTCAGTACCTCTCTTCTCAAGTCCATTTCTCCAATTCATCATCTAACAACTCACCCACCAGCATTCTGACAACCCAAGTAAGCAAATGCTGTCATACTGACTTTACTGCTCGGAGAATATTTGTCAATTAATGTTACCTCCAGGTCTGAGCTAGGAAGAATGACCAGCTTCCATAGATTCCCCTTGTCTTTCCCAGAATAATGCTGGAGTTCATTTTCGAATTGTGTTTTGTCCTGTACATTTGGCCACACTGCAACTCAAAGGCACAAGCATTACTACAACATTCCAGAATCTGCCTATTATTTCCAAATAAACATTCCCACCTCTAAGTGCTCACATGGTCACTCTCTAGATTAGACTAACTCTAAACAGTGACACCTTTCTAAGAGGGCAGGTATGACTTGAGGTAAGCACAGTAAACAAATGCCTTATCAAGCAAGAGCTATTTTCACCGCCTTGCTGTGTTTTCTGAGTCATCTCAGTCAAGTTCTCAAAACTGTATGCTCCTAGGGACCATCTACTGCCATAACATACATACATACATATATGTACATATACGTAGACATATATACTTATTTATAAAATGTTATTTAAATAATTATAGTTAATATATACAAATAATAATGTTTAAAAATATATTTCCGTCCTTCCCCTTCTATATAAAGGATTTGGCAATATGTGTTTTCTATGGACTACTGTTTTTTAACAATAATAGGAAGGGGGGAGCAATAATAGTCAAATATTCCTCAAGTTCTCACAACGTTCCAGGCACTCTACTAGTATTCTGCCATATGTGCAATCTCACTGAACCCTTAAAACTCCTCTGTGAGGTAGCTACTGTCATTATTTCCATGTTACAGAGGAGTGAATGGAGGCATATGTCAGAGATTCAAACTCACATCCTTCTGCCTCCAGCACCCAAGCTGTTAACTGCTATGGACCAGGGCATAGAAATAGAGCTACTGGCCTTAGCTTTGACTCAAAAGAAAAAAATATATAACATAAACATGTATATCATAAGTACGTATATGTATGTCCTACGTATGATATACATGTTTAGACTGTATAAATGGTTTTAAATTCCAAAAATTTTTCCACTTCTCCAGTATAATATACACACAATTTGTGAGTTAAAACTTAATTGAGCACAACACTATTGGCGAATTACAAAATACTCAAAACTTACATCAATTTAGCCTCCATTCCATTATCCAGAGAGAAGCTGCTTATGCATTCTTACTCTGGCAATTAAGGACAAGTGTGTTTTCTAAAGTGAAGGTTATTCTGACTTTGATAAGTATATTGCTCACTGTCTGATCATAAAGGGCCAGAGCTGGAGATGAATAACAGAATACTTTGTCCTTCACTCCAGGCATGATGGTTGGACCTCCCTGGCTGTAAATTTCCCAATATTTGATGGCCCCGATGTCAGCAGCAAAATGATGCATAATAAACACAACAATACATTATGTGCCGCTTCTTGATTTGGTGCCGAGGCCGGGAAGGAAACAGTCTACTTTTGAATGGGTTTTCTGAAATAATACACAGACAGTGTGTATTGGAGAGATCTAAAGGGAAAATTGAAGCTTGTTTTTCATCCCTCTGTTTTTAAACTATCCTTTGAAACTGACAATCCAGAGTGACGTGAACCCTTCTCCCACCATCGTTGGGTTGATATCAGGAAGAGCAGGGTACACAGGCTTTCATCTAGCCAGGAAAAAGGACACAGAGCTTATTTTGAACAGGAAGGAAAAAAGATACTTGATGAAAGCCAGAGAAACAAGCTGCCTAAATCCTTTGACAAAGAAGAGACAAAGGGAATGGGTTTGTGAAATAATGTGCAGACCTAAAAATAATGTTTCAATAACATTTTTAATTCTTCCATTTTATCCAGAATGTTTTCTGCAAAGTCTAAAATCTGGCTTTAGAGTGGAAAGAGAAAACACTATTCTAAGGCTTGCATCCATGAGATAGTCCTTCTTCACCACTAAGGAAATGTGAGCTATGAAAAGGGAACGACAATGACGGTGGGGTGCACATGCAGCTTCACCTTCACCTGCCTGCATCCAGATCAGAGACTCCTAGTACTAGCAGGGTCCAACCCTGACTTTTCATAGATGATAGGCTTAAAACTGCTAGGTGACTTTCCCAAGGGCATGCTTGGTGTTGTATTATTATTATTCTCTGAATAATAGATGACAAATGGACAAGAGCAAAAGAGATCATGTCGCAATTTACCCAAACACTTCCTATAAGGAAAACAATGGTAATTACAGTTCCTAAGTTCACTTATCTACCCAAGCATATTATCAGAAATCCAAGAAACAGATACACACAACATGTCCTACGGCCAGAAGTATTTTTAAAACTCAGACATTCTGCCAGGTATACTTGCTTAATTCAGTATCAGGTTAGAGTTGCCCACTCTGTTCTTTCCAGAAAGAATAGTGAAAAAGTCTAGGAGTTCTTCTCAGGGAGCAAAAACAAAGTCAAATATTTGGGCAGCTCTTTCATTTGGATCTATGTCGAGTCTACAACTGCAAAAGCACTTGCACATCAGTCAACTAAATTCTTACTGGCAAACCTCGATATAAAGAGCTTGCAGTAGAGACATGTGGTTATTTTCCAGCTTCTCTGCACTCTACCATCTCATCCCAGGAGCTAAAAAATGGCCCTACATTTTTCCAGAAAAAGCAGAATGAAAATCCCTGGATTGTTTGACTTCTCCCCACCTTATTATCCCAGAATTTGGGTCACATCTTAAACTTCCAGATGACATCCATTCAGCCCTGGAGACCTGCTCCAGTTCACAAGATGATTTGCCCAAGGCCCCTCTCCATCTGGAAGGTCCCTTGGAAGATGGGACAGACTCCAAACATGCCAGAGGCTATACAAGCTCCCTTCAATCTTAGACCATCACCCAGGAAACATTAACGTGGGCACTCAAAATGGTAAAAAGACTCCTTCTGACACCCAGGCTTCCCCAACTGCCCCCCCCCAACCACCACTCCTTATCATCATAACTTTTCCATAAAACAATTAGACTTCAGGAGGTTAATTTTTTCCTGAAGTCCAAGCTCACCATGACCTGATGTCCAGGAACTGGCCATGATTATTGACTATTATGGGCTGATCTCAAGCAATATCTTTTCAAACGTTACATTTATTCATTTTCTCACAACTGAAGTCTGGAGTTGGCCATCATTCAAGCTGTTTTCCAGCTCCATTTCCCTTCTCCTATAGAATCCTACCTGCAAAGAGCTCTCTCACTTAGGAGCGTGCTTCCTGAGACAAATCAAACTTTTTCTTCTCTTTGCCCCATCCTTCTTAATCTTCATTGCATGCAAATAATAGGGTGAGGAAAGAAAATCAAAGAAACAGTGATATTCATTGAAGAGCAATTAGGGTGTTGTATGGACACAGAGGGAGACACCCCCTCCCAATTTTCCTTAATGCTGGCGAGTGTGGGCACTGTGTCCTGTGTGTCTAAGCCTCAGACCTTTGTTAGCACCAGCTGCTGGAGAACATCCCTCTGGCCAAACAGCAGGCTCCTGGAGATTCTCAGCATCACCAGGAAGACCCTTCAAAGCCGTGGGCCAGAGCCTTCCCCTGATTTTCATACATATAAGTGACAAACAACAAAAGGAAAATATTATTTTGCTGCTAACCTAGTTTGAGTCATCCATCATATATTGGAGTGCAATACGTGTACAGTAATGGTCAGACCCTGTGGACACTTAGCGAATGAGGCCCAGACCTGTCCTCATGGATCTTACAATCTAGAGAGTAGGATTTAGACAATGCACATATAACTAGATATAAATCCACAAGCCAACGTCCAAATTAATATACAAAGGGCAATTATAAAGTGGAATGGTTTCTCTTTTTCCTTTTAAATAAATATTCCAAATGAATGTTATCTCTTTCAAAACACTCACCATAGGGGGGACAACACATTCCAATCGCATTTCTTCTGTTCAAAAGTTTTGAAAACTCCTCTTTGTAACTGCATTCTGAGCAGCCGCATAACAAAGGGGGACAGCGGAGTGGGGAAGAGAGGAGTATTTTGTCCCCAACACTGTTTAGAATTGAGCACTTGCAGTGATAATAAAACACAGACTGTACCTTAGTCGGTTCTATTATTTTAAAATTTTCTATAAACAAGACACCTTCTTATTGCCTGCACCCTGGGTGAGCTGCCTCCTTATCCCCTGCTTCCACCCCAGCCTTTTCATGCCACTGCTTCTGAGGGGCACAGTCATTCCAATAGGCTCAATGTGTTCAGTGTATTCTTTGCAGCAGATGCAGTCTGAGTCAAGTCTAATGAATAAAATGGAGGATCCAGCCAGGCAATACTGCCATAAGGCAGAGAACAAGGATGGCTTTACACTGACAAGAGATTTTCACATATTGAGGTATATGGGGTAACTATTTGGGGTCACAGGTTCAAAATTGATTCAGCTCTAACTAAAAAGCCTGACTTATGGCCTACCAAACATACATTGCACATCTGCTTAACCATTAAAGAATGCACTCTATTAAGGTAAGAATGCATATTTCCCCTTCTTTGCCCTATTGGTAATGCCCTACTGGTAATGCCCAGATTAGTCCCTTTCCTGACATCAGGGTCATGTGGATCTGCTAATTTGCAACTGAATATCTCTTTGAAATTTTGATGAAAATGTATCCTGTGTGTGTTTAATGTATGTTCTTTCTTCTAAAAAGATATAAGACTGCACTGAAAACCATGGTTCTCCAGAACGCTTTATAAGGCCTTCCTGGGTTATAATCCTCACTCTGGCTCAAGTAAACTCATCCTATCTCTTTTATCTATAGAATGGTAATTGATTATTTTGCGTTGACAACACTGACACTGTGGTTGTCATACACTGCCTCTGAAAGCAATTCCACCAAGAGAATCACTGAAATGTTTTGAGCAAAAGCAGAATTGTTGGAATATGTGTGCAATGTCCTCTATTAGTCTAGGCAGACCATGAGCAAACAACCCCAAATCTCAGTGGTGCAATGCAACAAAAGTTAATTTCTCACCCATGCTATATTTTTAACATGGATTATCAGAGGGATTCTGCTCATTGTAGCATCTCATGAGCCTAGGCTGACACAAGCCCCATTTCAACCTTTGCCTCCACTATTATGATAGCAGTAGAATGTAAGCTTCTAAAGCTTCCTCATGGAAGTGACACAAGTCACTTCTGCCCACATGTCACCATCCACAGCAAATCACATGGCATGACTAACTACCAATGGGATGGAGAAGTATAATGCTGCCATGTTTCTGGAGGGAGGAAGGTCAGAATATTGGTGAATGGACTTATGATGAGCACACCTCCCCTGTGTCATCATTCTTTGAAGAGGACAAGAATCATTTGGCCTTATAAACTTTGGAAAGTTAGTTTTCAGAAAACCATTCTATTATATGATCACTCCCCTTCTGTTGGACTTCTTCATATATCAGAGATTTGACACAGTTGAAGAAGTCATCATAACGCCAGTAGGTGACTTGTGAGGTACAGGCAGGTTTGAACAGGCACCAGTATGACTGACTGGAGATGCAGTGTGGCATAAAAGAAATGAGAAGAAAGCTGACATTCCAGGTAGACCTATGTGCCAGGCATTGCAGTAGACACTGTGCTTGTGGTATCTCATTCACTCATCCCAAAAACCCCACAAGGCAGGTAACAGTATGCTCATTTAAAAAGTAGAGAAATGGACTCTTAGAGCTTAAAATTCGCTGCAGCAACCATGTCATGGGGAATGGGTGTTGGAGTCAGTTTTAAAACTCAGATCTGCCTAATTTCAGAACCCTTAGGGGGAACCACAAGAAGTTGAACCCACACAAATTCCCTTATTACTTTATCTGTATCCCTTTCACAGCCTTTCCAATTAGGTAATTATTGTTTTTAATGAGACTGTCCTAAGCTACATAAGGACAGGAACTTAGCTTCATTCAGATTTGTGTGGCCCACAACAATCCCAAATACTCCTTCAGGTGGTAGGTGCTCAAGAAAATATTGGTTGTTAAACGCATGTTGAAAGTCAAGGTTATTCCCCAAAGCAATATTCCCTTTCCATTTGCCTGCACAGCACATGAAAGGAGATTGACTAGAAGAAACGTTTCCTTAGTGATTCTCAAGAAAAGCAAGGTTGTCAACATTTTCTCTTATCAAAGATGTTCTCTAAGCGAGAAAATAGAGAGCAGCTTCCACAACGTAGACCTGAATGTGAAGATAATGGTCAGCAGGGCTCCGGGATCTATTCGTGTTCCCCCTCCCAACAAGCTCTTGACAGGAACACACCTGCCAGGGAAACAGAGAGAAGTTCATTTTGCTAGGAGACAACACGCAGCTGCACAGTTTCATACTCCACTTAATCCCAAAGATGAATTCACAAGTTGCCCTAAACGCATCACTCTACAGGGGATTCTTTGTCTTTTTTTTTTTTCCTATTTCCAGCCAGTGTCTGCTGTTTGATGTGTCACAAATAATTCATATCTCTCCCCACCGCCCTCTCTCTCTCTCTCACACACACACACACAAATATACACACAATCTTCTTTCTTAAAAAGGTTACATTTATTTTGAGTCTCCTTTAAAATCTCCACACAGGACACTGGAGGTCACAACACAGACCATTTCTTCACACTGGTACTATGATTTTCTCCTATGTTGAAGGATTGCTCCTGTCACTACTCCTTCCCAGAATCCTTTCTGAGCCTTTTTTTAAAGCACATGAGCCATGCTTTTAATTGGGCATTTCATTAGAGAAGAATGAGGCATAAAGGAAAGCAAAATGGTCTGTAGTCATTTGTTCTGAGGAGATCATTCCAGTCATCAACCTCTGAACCCTGCTGAAGTACAGTTCCAATTTCCCTTCCCAACCATGGGTAAAGCAACATTGACAACACATATTTCTCTCTGTCAAAACATTTCACTTACTCAGCAATCTGCAGACAGTTTGAGAATCGTATCGCCAAGGAACAGTGCCATAGCATTGTTCCCATTATTTTAAAATCATTATGGCACGTGCTTCATGAAAGGGGCACAATGCAGGCCAAGATCCAAATTGAAAAGAAAAATGCTAACAGAGTCAGAGAGCAGAGAGGGCACTGTAAATAATGGGCCTTGTTACCGAGCCATGAAAAGATGGGGCCGTCTGCATCCCATTTCATCTGAAGAGCTCAGCCCATTGCCCTTGGAGTTGAATCTCCTGGGGGAATCATACAGGGAATTCTATGAACTCTGTGCCCAGTTGAAGTTATGGGCTTTGGCTCGTGTTTGAGAAATGGATTTCATACCATTGGATCTAATTAAATGATTATTTTTGGCTGGGAGTGGGGAAAGGAAAAGTAAAGTGATCTCTGATTAAAGAATTATATTCAAGTACCAGTGAAAGGCCAGCCTGGTGTATGTTCCTGACACAGGAAAAGAAAAGCAACAAGGGACTGGAACTAGACATATACTGACAAAATCGATTATGACTCCCACAGAAAGTTGTTGACTACAGTGTAATCTCCTCAAAATGGCTCACTTTCAGTGAGAAGTATTTAAAAGAGATAATGTTCAAGGAAATGGAAATGTGCAGCCCAGATAATGGCCTTGGGGTGCAAGACAGATATTGCAGGGCATCAAGGCCATGGCTTTGGCAGAAAGCAAAATACTGAAGCAAAGCTGAAACACTGATTGTCAAGGCCGGAGAATGTTTACCAGTCACAAGGTTCAGATTCATGGGCAATATTGTTAAAGCTCCTGGGAGAAATACACTCAACAAACAGCAAATACAGTCAATAAAGTGCCCTCCAAGCAATGAGCAGGCTCACCAATGGGCAGCCATATGTGTCCCCAGGCTCTCAAGGGAGAAGGCAGTTCACCAATTATTGCCGACTGGTTGGGTTAGTAAAATTGCTCAGACCTCCTACCATTCACCTGCAGTCCAACTTTCCATATATCTTGCTGGGTTTTGCTAAACTTATTTTCATCCATTTATAAAAGGTCAACGAGGCTGTGTGTCGACTTGACAGTAGTAAGTGCCTTTACTGTAATCCCCAATGTTATTAGTTTGGCTGGGTTTTACAGGAAGTGTACAGTTTATCTTTCTCATAAAATTCTTTGATTTGTCAAGTTGGTACCAGCTGTTATCACTTTAATAGAGATCATTGTATAATTTCAAAATATCTTATTCTCTCTAAAATTATTCTGATGCTCAAAACTGTCTGGAGCTCTGAAATGTGCTTCTTGCCTCTGTCTCTTATCTGGATGGGTTAAATAACCTCACCCATCATGCTGTTAAGCTGTGCTACAAGCCAGGCACCAAGGTTCACCACAGCATTTGCCTTCCACCATGTTCCTACAGACACAAACAGGTATGGCCAAGGGGATAACTTTGAGGTTTCCTTTTTATTCTGTCACGAAGAGGAACGTTGGGTGGTAACTAATTGGTGGGGCAGAGGGTGGCAGACACTCAAAGTCCACTCGTATGGTTTGAAGTAACTCAGGCATTTGCTGGCAAAGGCAAAGGCAGTTGAAGGGGGAATAGTAAAAAGGAAGATGATAGCAAGTATATAAAAAGTAATCAATAAATATTTCATAAAAGAATGTATAAAGAACCTCTTTCCTCACCCTTCCCAAAATGTAGATATCTGCCTCTGCTACAACTCTAAGAAGCATTTTAATTCTTAATTCCTAATATGCAAGTAATCCTGGTGGACATCCACCTTCCATATTGTCCGGCCACTTCATTCTGAGATAGTGCCAAGGTCAAAGTGTTCATGGCCACAGCCTTCACCTCCTTTGCTTCCCAGAGCTGGAGACCCAAGTTTTAGAAGTAGACTAAGTCACTCTGGCATTAAAAAGAGCTAAATTCTCCAGAGAGAATCCCATTTACACTACAATGGAATGCCCTAGATGTCCAAGAAAGACAGACGTGCCTGTCACAGTGAAGTAGGTAGGGAAGGATTCCCACCTGCGTGGTGCCATCAGGCAGCATCCCAGGGGTTGAGGTCACCTTTTTCTGTGTGTCCTAGACCCTCATCTAGAAAAAAGCAGACTGTCTCTAGGACAAGTGTTCCATTATCCTCTGGTTTCCTCTGACTCTATTTAAAATGTTTAAGTAAAACCGTGGGAGAAAAGGTGCAAGTGACAAAGATAACAGAGAGAGAGAGGGATGGGTCCAAGAAGCCACAAATAGGTCTAGAACCTTGAAAATGTAGATGGCTTATTTTAAATGTTCAAATTTCTTGATATCAAATGAGGACCTCTGTATATGCCAATGAACTTAATAAAAATGAAATTTTTGTTGCAGGGACATAAAATTGCAGATATGTAAACAGGCCTGTGCTAAGCTATACTGTGCTCCCGGTTTAAGGGTTGCAGGTTGGCCATTACTGAGTATTTCAAACTTGCCTCAGCCTGACTTGCTCTGCTCATCTGGATAATGTCCAATGACACCTGCATTTCTTTTCCTCTTGGAATATGTTATAGTCAGCTCCCAGTGAGTGGGCTGCAGCTAGTATTTCTTTACCATATTGATTCACCAAGTTGATACCATTTGGCTGTTCACCTCAATAATGGGGAGGACACCTATAGTTTGAGCAGTATCCTGATGCCTGGATGACT